AAAGGGAGACTCGACTCACTTATATTACTGTTATTCTCGCTGTTACTGGGGTTATCATTGCCAGCCAGGCTGAACTGAATTTTTATCTATTTTGGGTTTTATCATGTGCGTTTCATCCCCAGCAACAAGAATTCCACGGATATCTTTCTGTACATGGATCCTATAGTTGAAGTGTTTTTACTTTCTACAATGCTCATTTCGGAAGAAAACGTGATCGATATCACACTTGCCCTTGCTTGAGATGATATCAAGATCAGTTGGTATCTTTTATTCAACTCGACACTAGCATATATCGTGAATTTGACCAACTTTTTGGTCATACCAACATCTCACTTGTATCCCCACTGAGTTTTGTTCTCAAGTGATCTTGTGACATCATACAAAAACTTTGAACACTAGGAAAAGAGCTTCAATGATTGAGAAATCTGATCAGAAGCCACAGAAAAGGATGAATGTGTTGTCAAATTCTTTACGAACATCTGAGCAGAATCCACAGAAAAGGATGAATGTGTTGTCAAGTGTTTTACATCTGAGCAGAAACCACATGAGATGATGCATGTGTTGTCAAATGTTTTACGAACCAGTTATTCTGATGCTGAACCAATGTTGTTATCATATGGTTTTCCTTTATTAATACAAGATGAAGTTTGTCTTCTTCAACCCCAAGATTAGAAGTGAGATATAATGAAGTTTTCTTTCCATCGAAGGAAAGCTGAAATTTTAACAACAAGAAACTAGTGGAGCCAACTATGATTGAACGACAGGTTGTTGTTAAGCATCTCGACATAATATGGTCCAAGTTGCCTTGTTCGAGATCTGATTAGATGTGGAGACATGAAAGGAATTAGGATAAATTCTCCTTATGATGTGTTTCAAGAGTCAAATGAGAACAAACATTTCCATGCTGAATTTGGCATATCTACATCTACATTCTTCAAAGATGATAGATTCTATCTTCAAAGATGATAGATTCTCTTTTTAAAGATGATAGACTCTCTTTTCAAAGATGAAAGATTCTCTTTTCAAAGATGAAAGCTTTATTGGATTTCTACACAAGTCCAAGCAAAGAAAGTTGGTTTTATCCAAGACAAAATGGGGCATCAAAGTCATAGTTCTGACTACAGCAAGAGTTCCATAAATGAAACATTTCTTCTGAGACTTTCATGAAGCAAAGAAGACGCAAAGATACAAGTTGATCAGATGATTCTGCAGAAATGCAAGCTTGATAGCATAAGTTTCTACACTGATATCCAGAGGTAACCCTGGTAATAAATGATGAAGTGAAGAAAGACTAAGTTCACCACTTTGAAGTCAAATGAAGATTGCATCAACATTCATGCATTCATAAGAATATCATTTACACAATAGACACTGCATTACATTGATACATCTGAGTGCATTCAAACATGAAGTTTTACAGATCTTCGGAAGAACAAGAAGATGCATGGTAAAAAATACCTTACATGAAGAAGGTGTTCAAAACCGCAAATACAGGAATCACACAAACATCTGAAGAATAGATGTACGTAATCCACAAAAATCCAACAGCCTTATCTTGAGATTGGGGCATGTTACCCAATCAACATGTTATTTTGAAAAATAATGAGAAAACGATTTTCATAGTTTCTCATTCAATCTTTTCTAAAAATGAAATTGTTGAATAGTAAGAAAACGATTTTCATAGTTTCTTACTTAGTAAACTATTTCTCACATCTGTAAGTCCTACAGTGCATGATGTTTCCAAAAAGCCTTCGGGAGCTTTTTGATGTTTTCAAAGCCTTAGGGTCATCTGTAAGTCCTACAGTGCATGATGTTTCCAAAAAGCCTTCGGGAGCTTTTTAATGTTTTTAAAGCCTTAGGGTCATCTGTAAGTCCTACAGTGCATGATGTTTCCAAAAAGCCTTCGGGAGCTTTTTGATGTTTTCAAAACCTTCAGGTCATCAGCATTTCCAGAAGAGTTCATAATGGGAAGAACTCATCTGAAGAAGGAAGAAGAAGTTCATAATGAGAAGAACTTGTTTAACCTCTTGCTTGAATTCATCATTCGATGGATCAGCATTACCAGGTAGAGTTCATAATGAGAAGAACTCATCTGAAGAAGGAAGAAGAAGTTCATAATGAGAAGAACTTATTCAACCTTTCGCTTGAATTCATTATTCGATGGATCAACATTACCAGGTAGAGTTCATAATGATAAGAACTCATCTGAACAAGGAAGAAGAAGTTCATAATGAGAAGAACTTATTCAACCTTTCGCTTGAATTCATCATTCGATTGATCAGCATTACCAGGTAGAGTTCATAATAAGAAGAACTCATCTGAAGAGAAGAAGAAGTTCATAATGAGAAGAATTTATTCAACTTTTTGCTTGATTTCATCATTCGATGGATCAATATTGCCAGGAAGAGTTCATAATAAGAAGAACTCATCTGAAGAGGAGAAGAAGTTCATAATGAGAAGAATTTGTTCAGCCTTTTTCATGACTCTATCACGGAAGGAGATAGATCAACATCAACATTTCCAGAAGTGTTCATAATGAGAAGAACTCATCTGAAGAAGGAGAATAATTTATTCAACCTTTTGCTACACTACATCTCAGAATGAGATGAATTGTCATCCCCAGTGGAAAGTTCATAATAAGAAGAACTAATCCCAGAGGAGAACTTGTTCAACATTTCCATCTTAATCAGGAGAAGTCAATTGAACAAAAATTGATTGCCTTTTCGTCTTTGCTCTATTATTGTTAACACAAGAATGAGCAAAGAGGGGCAGCTGTAGACACTAAATTTTTATCCCGGTTTTATTTATATTATTATTATTATTATATTATTATTTATTATATATTATTATTATTATTATTAATATTATTATTAATATTATTATTATTACAAACAGGCCAAAATTACACGACCCAATTACAAATCCCGGAGGCCCAGATCTGGAAGCCCAACCCAAACAGAAGCCAAATGGCCCAGCTAAACCCTAAACCCAATTTAGGGTTTGTATCATCACCAGTAGCCGTCAGCTCCTCATGACCATTGGATCTGACTTTGATCCAACGGTCCAAAGAAAGGTTCCAGATGAAACCCTAGGGTATCATCACCCTAGGGCCACGTTTCCAGCTGCCTCTTCAACTACCACGCAGTGCCTCATCTAGTGCCAAGCTTCCAGAAGATGCTGCCACGCCTCCACGTCTCGGCCAGCTTCCGCCCTCGTCGAAGACTCCAATGTTGCCACGACCCCTCCACACGTCAAAGCTATATGGTGAGTCACCACATAGTTTGGTGACTCACCGAAGGGCCTTTCTTAAGACCAGTCTGATGAGCGCCTCGGTGGTGGCTATAAAAGCCATCACCACCTGTAAATAAGAAAAAAACGGAGAGCAAGAATAGAGAAAAGAAAAAACAGAGACCAACTCACAACAACCAACAATCAAACCGAGAAGAGAGAAGGAAGAGCTTACCTTACCGGAGAACCCCAAGCGGCGCTTGAGAAACAGAAATACCGAAGTTATTTTCCTTAGATCTAGGAAGATCCATAGCTTTTTAGGATGAAAGAACAATGAAATCGGGTTTAGGGTACTCGGATTTAGAGTTTGGGGAAATTTTGATATTCTCCGACCACCAGTGACAGTGGACCGCGGTGAGGTTGGCAGTGGTGCAAGGCTGCCGGCCGATTACCGGCTCTCCTCCTATGAGGGAAGCTAGAGAGAGGCAAGAGAGAGTTTTATAACTCTCTCTGTTTGAGAGAAAAGAAGAAAGGAAGAAATGAGGAAGTTGGCCCTTGGGGCCGGCTTAAATGGGTATAAATACCCTCACCAAAACGGGCTTAAATGGGTATAAATACCCTCATCAAAACGACGCCGTTTTGGTGAGGGTATATGCATAATTTACACACATGGATAAACCCTTTCCGCAGCCATCATAACTTTGTAACTTTATATTTTGGTCACTAAATCAAATTTTAGATTTTTCTAATACGACGCATGAATTTTAATTTCTTTATATTCTGGTCACTAATTTAATTATATGTAAAACAACCTAATTAGTTATTATGATTTTAATAATTCATATTTTAGTCATGAATAACATGTTTTAATTTCTTTCAATTTGATGTTCGAACTTTATATAATTTTATTTCAGTCCCTAAATAAAAAAATATTAAATATTACATATTTAGTCACTATAATATTAAATAATTATTTACTAATTAGATATTTAATTTTAATATATTCTAATTTAGTCATTAACTTTAAATTATTAGTTTTTATTATTTTTACTTTCATTTATTATAGTTATTATTTAAACTTTATATATATATATTTAAAATATAATTATTATAAATATATATATATAATAATATTTATTTATTTTATTATTATTTTTAAATCTTTTATATAAATTATTTTATTCTATTTTAATTAAAGAAAATGGCTGTCTTAAAACACCTAGAAGTCCGTTTTCTGATATTTTATCCTACAAAATATATATTAATTTTTAAGAAATATTTTATTAATATTTATTTATTTTTTTAATATTAAGAAAGGAGCTGTCTTAAAGCACCTAGAAGCTATTTTCTGATATTTCTAAATAAATAAATATCTTATTTATATAAATTAATATATTTTCTTAAAATTATAAATTTGAAATAATAATATTATGAATTAAATATATCTTTGAATTTTTTTTGCCAATAATAAAGACAATTTATAATTAATAAAGTACCAATTTTGGGCGTTATAGGGGTGCTAATCCTTCCCTAAACGTAACCGACCACGAATCCCTTTTTATTTCTAAAAAGAATGAATTTTTGGTTATACGCAGATCAGTTTATCTTTTAACTGATGTTTTCTTAAAAACTCTTTTAAAAGATAATTTTTAGGTATTCGACCTACCTAGCTCAAAAGGCCGATAACGACTCCCAAATTATTTTAAACCATTTATTCACATTATTTTCCCGCCGAGTAAAAAATTTGTGCCCGGGCAAAAACCAGTTACGACAAGAATATTGGCCATTCTCCTTCTTTGCTGTATTCCTCCAGAGTCAATGATGGTATTTGTGGTATGTGTTTGTTCTCCAGCAATCTGAAACATTTGAATTTAAATCGCTGTTTGCCTCTTCAGAAACTTGCTGAAAGTATATTTTCATACTTATGCTTACATTGCCACGGCTCTTTATATTTTCTTGGAGTACCTGTTCCCGATATTCGTGTCATGCGTATATCTAGACATGTGTTGCAAATATTACTACATAGGAAAACTTGAACATACCTTTTCCGGCCGCATATCTGGATCCAAACTCACGCCCAGTTTGAGTAACATAGCATTGTGCAAGTGCATTATGAGTGACCTTTTTCGTTATGTAGTTATTGTATTGATCTTTTTGTTATAATGAACAAAAAGAGCAAATTGTTGTGATGGGAGTGATGAGTATGATGGTAAAGTGAAATGTCCTAATACATGCAACGATGCTATAGCCATAGAAAGCTTGAAGAGAAACGTCGAAGTGTATCAAGAAGGTGTTACTTTACGAAAACAAGAGATCGAGCAAGCAAAACGAGCAATTGCTAGAGACAGAGCAGAATTATCAATGCTGAAAAGGGAACGAGAAGTTGTAGGAAAGCTTGTTAGTCAGCTCGATGGTATGACTCCGATTTGTTTGTTCTTTTAATTTAATACTTAAGGTTCGAAGTTTATTATATATATTTCCTGAAATTCAGCAAATTTAATAACCATTTTCATGATTATTGCTAAAATTGCTCGACTTTCTACCTTACATGTATTTTATAATTCCTAAATTTATTTACTTGGATGAATTTTGTATTACATGTGCATTTTTCTTGAAGAAGATCTGTTTCGATTATAAGAGAAAGAGTATAGTTTTCCTAGGGAAAATGATTTATGTCCATGCTATATCTCTTATTTATTTGATTTGATTCCCAACATTGTACATGAAGAGCTAGTTCAGAAGTTGGAGCAGGAGCACGAAGAGGAAGAAAATAAGATGAGTGAAGCTCGGAATGAGAAAGTTAAAAACAAAAAGAGTGGACCTGAGGAAAACGCTGACAGACAAATAGAACCCATGAAAACATCCGATGTTGAAAAAAAGCGGCAATCAGGCGAATCTCCATCAGATCAGGTAGAATATTATATAAGTCAATTTGATGCCTCCTACTTTTGTTTTCGTTTTCAATTATTTGTTATATTTTCCTATCCTGTTTCACTTTGTTACAGATTGCACCGTCGATTGAATATCGGATACTATTAACACGACAATGTAATCTTGATAATTAAATTTTGACATTGTACATAGACTTAGCAAATGCTGAAACTTAAGGCAAATAATTGGGTCTTCCCATGTTATGATCTGCATAATTTACAGTAGGAAAATAACTTTGTTTGACAATATTGTCCATTGCCGCATATGAACCTATTGGTTTCAGAATGAAAAGGATGAAGATAAAAATTCTGAAGGATTGTCAAGAGAAGAGCTTGGTCAGCTTGTTGTATCACGCTGGACGGGGAAAAAGACCGGGGAACAAGTCAAGGAGATTGATCAAACTAAAAATGACCAGGTGAGCAACGGAGACAAAGCTGAGAGTGCACATGGTGAACATTTCTATAATAATTCTTTACGGTTCAATGAAAGGATTCAATTGCATCAGGAGAACGACGGACAGGTTGATGGATATAAAGAGTCTGTCGCAGATAACACTAGTCGTCAATCTTGGTTAAATAAGATTCAGGAAACCGCTCAGAGTTTCCTGAACATGTTTTCAACCACGATTGCTAATCTAGGTAAGAACGAGCTTATGGTTTCCAATATTCGTTGCTCTATAAAAAAAATTGTAACCACATAAAGTGCATTATGTCCCATCTATATGTATTTACTTTTGTTATTATTTTTTATTTTTGTAGATGCAACTCAGATTCGGAAGGAATATAATGACTACACTTCGAAGTTGTCCGACATAAATTCAAGGATTTCAAGTTTGACAGAAAAGTTCAAGCATGATTTTGGTAAGCCATAGATATATATTTTGGTGACTTTGTGCTATATAGTATTAGTTGTACAAGAAGTGTGTCAGAACTTTTTATCCGCTTTGTTGAATTATTCTTTTAAACTCCAGGAAAAGAAAATGAATTCTATTTGTTCTATGACCGTTGCTTCGAGTCGGAGCAGGACAAGTAAGAATAAAACTTACCTTGTGCATGTGCTAATGTTTGGTAATATAATATTTTTACTCTCTCATTGTTGTTTCTTTGGGCAATGGACACTTCTGGTTTTAGGTATGTCTACAAAGTTCGTCCATTTAAAGATGCAACACAAAAGGGTGACAACAGTGAAACCCTGTTGGGGTATGTGTCTCCTTTTTCTTTCCGTAATTGCTTCCATGAGTGCCAATCATAAGGTGTGTTATACGGAATTTACCTGTGAAGATACTAATTTTTTACCCATATTGATTTATTATTATTATTATTATTATTATTATTATTATCATTATTATTATTATTATTATTAAATATATTAAATACATATATAAATAAATATTAAAATATATACAAGCCCAATCGACCAGCCCAATTACAATGACCCAACCATTTAACCTAAATATGTAACCCTAAACCCTAGCCGCCATCATCCATCCACCGTTGGATCTGGCATGATCCAACGGTCCAAGAGCCTCCAGATGCAAACCCTAGGGTATGATACCCTAGGGCCACGCGGCCGCCGCAGCTGCTCTCGCCGTCTCCACCGCTGCCACGTCCCAACCGAAGGCTCCAGAAGCTCCAACGTCAGCCGTCCACGCCATGGCTATGGGGTGAGTCACCACTGGGAGTCCGGTGACTCACCGAAATCCACTCTTCGGACCAGTCCAATGGCCGCACCGGTGATGGCTATAAAGCCATCACCCCATCTGCAAACAGAGACAGAGAAAACGGAAAGACAGAGAACATAACAGAGACGAGGAAACGACAGAAACAGAGAGAGAGATACAAAAACTACCAACGATCCCAGTCAACAACAACACAGCAACAAAAAAAGGGGAGAGAAGCTTACCAAAGAAACCTTGACCATCACCGGAAGCATTAAACATCGCCGGAGAACAGAAAATACCGAAGGTATTTTCATAGATTTACTCCGATTAGGAGTCTTTTTTGGGGAAATAAAGGTCGGATTCGGTCTTAGGGTGTATAGATCTACATTTTAGGTGAATTTGGGGAATTTCCGACCACCGGAGGCGGTGGTCGGCGTCGGAATTTACTGCGGCAGACGGCTGCCGGATTCCCTCCTGTGAGGGAATATAGAGAGAGGCCAGAGAGAATTCTGGCTCTCTCTCTGCTTGAGAGAGAAAAAAAAAAAGAAATGAAGGCTGGCCCAAAGGCCAGCCGGGTTTGGGCATTAAATAGCCCTTCCCAAACGACGCCGTTTTGGGGAGGGCTATTCGTGTAATTAATAATAGTTAAATCCTTTCCGCAGTCCTCTGAACTTGTAAACTTTACATTTTAGTCACTAAATCGAATTTATAATCCTTTTAATTTGATCTCTAAGTTTTAATTTCATTTATTTTAGTCCTTTATATTAAAATAATATATTTAGGATAAATAACAGATTTAATCCCTTAATTTTAATAAATAATATTTTAATCCCTAGTTTATATTTTTAATTTATTTTAATCTTATATTCGAATTTTAGATAAGTTTATTTTAGTCACTAAATTATTAAATAAGAAAATAGCATGTTTAATCCCTATAATTTTGATTAATTATGAATTAGGTTTTTAATTTCAATTTTACTATAATTTAGTTATTTATTTTAAATGTCTTTATTTATTTTACTGCTTTTAAAATATATCGTTTTAGTTATATTTTTATTGTTTTAATTTTTACTTGTTTATATATTTAAATATTTTTATTATGTAGTCATAAATATATAAAAATAATAATTTATTTTTAAATAAATTATTTTAATATTTATTTTTCAGTATCGAAGAAAAGGACAGTCTTAATACAACTGGATGTCCTATTCTGGTATTTTAAAATTAAATATTATAAAAAATTTATTATTTAAAATAATATTTATTAATATCAAAGAAAAGAGCTGTCTTAAGGCACCTAGAAGTCTTTTTCTGATATTTTTAAATAAATAAATATTTTTTTATATAATTTTAAAATAATAGGATTATAAATTAAATATATTTTGATTTTTTTAAATTTTAATAAAAGAGACAATTTATAATTAAAAAAGTACCAATTTTGGGCGTTGTAGGGGTGCTAATCCTTCCCTAAACGTAACCGACCACGAATCCCTTTTTATTATTAAAAAGAACGAATTTTTTGGTTATAAACGCAGATCAGTTCATTTTTTAATTGATGTTTTCTTAAAACTCTTTTAAAAAATAATTTTTAGGTATTCGACCTACCTGACCCAAAAGGCCGATGGCGACTCCCAAATTATTTTCAAAACCATTTATTCACATCAATTTTCCCGCCAAATAAAAAAAATTCGTGCCCGGACGAAAACCGGTTACGACAGCTTGGCGACTCCGCTGGGGACCGGTCAAACTTTTAAAAATCAATTATAAATTGTCTCTATTAATTAAAAAATTAAAAGTTCATATATTTAATTTTTAATTCTTTCTTTTCAAAATCTTTATATTTACTTATTATTTTTATAATATTTATATGTTTTATTTTATTTGCAAGTATTTTATTTCATTATTTATTTTTCTGTCAAAGGTTTGAACATTTCTCCTCACACAACACTTGCATTGCATAACATAAAGCTCTATAATTGAGTTGTCCCTTTTAAGTGGGAGTGAAAGCGACGTCTTCGTGAGAATTTATTCTCCGTGTCAGACCTAGCAAGTAACTTTCGGGGTTCATATGCTCTATGTCTTCGTGAGAATTTATTCTCCGTGTCAGGCATAGAGAAATGTATCCCCTCGAATTGAACTCGATCCACTTTAGTCTGTAATGGACTAGGGTTGAGGGTTAGCAACCCAAGGGGGCACTAACAAAGACAATTCGGGTACCTTTATTCTTAGATCTGAAACCCTGCATATAAAAAACCCTAGAAATTCTTCCAATCTGAAGTCATGCTGAAATTTTGTCCAAAATAGGTGTACACACAGGAGAAATGAATTCTAACTTTCCTATTAATTTATTTATTTTCTTTACTGATTAAATTACATGTATATTCAAATTATTTAAATTTAGAAAAAGCATGTTTAAATAAAAATATTTAGGTAAATGTTATTATTAAATTTCTTTATTATATAAACTAATTCATTTCTTTTTGTGTGTTCTTTATTTTTTCTATTTGCATAGCATCATACAGGATAAAAGGAATTGATCCTAGTGTTAATTGTCTCATTGGAAAGCCTTCATCTATGGATAAAAAGTGTTCAAATCAAGTAATTCTAAACTCAGAAGTAAGACAGTGGGTTGAGGACTTACAAAGACAAGAAGGAGACAACCTGCAGGATGATTATGTATCTGACTTGGCCAATTATGCTCCAGTTTCGCTAAAAAGAAATGATATGCAAGATTTGCGAAGCATTTGGGAAAGTTGGGATTCAAAAAAAAAATTACAGTTTTATCAGACTTACGGAGACATCCCATATTTGCTCTATGTCGAAGTTGATGATGAATTACTCAGAGCCCTAGTTCAATTCTGGAATCCGGGGTACAATTGCTTCACTCTCAATAAAGAGGACTTGGTCCCTACTATTGAAGAGTACACAACTTTGCTACATATCGAAGGGGCTTTGGAGAATCGAATATATTCAAAGTCAATTAAAACTCAACCCTTTCGAGTTAAATTAGCAAAGATTGCCGGTGTACGAGAAGAATGGGTGGCATCCCGTACAAAACAAAAAGGCGAAAGTGAAGGCATTGCTTGGACCAACATTAGAGAACTTATTCAGAGCCATCCAAATATTAAAGTACGATTCGATTTATTTGCTCTGGGTATATATGGTATGGTCATCTTCCCAAAAGTATTGGGATATATTGAAGCTGCAGTGGTAGATTTGTTTGAAAAGCTACCGAAAAAGATTAATCCTGCTTCTGCAATTCTAGCAGAGACCTTCAGATCGTTAAATGCTTGTAGAAAGCTAGGAGGTGGACGATTTTCAGGGTGTACTCAGTTGTTATATGTTTGGATCCGTAGTCATTTCTGGAGGACAGAAAAGGTTTTATACCGACGCTTTAATACGGATTATTCACCATTAAAAGAATTTCTAGAGCAAGAATGGCCGAAAGAAATTAAGAAAGATATGTGGATTAATGCCTTTCGAAATCTGCAAAGCAATGACGTTGTTTGGCGAGCCCCTTGGCAAATCCAAAGGGAATTCTTTTACAAATGTGGCGATTACAATTGGATAATGCTGCTCGGATTATGGGGAGGAATTGGATATGCACCACTCTTGGTTATAAGACAATATGAAGGTCGTCAATTTGTACCTGTCACTGCTGGATTACAGTCATCTGAGTTCGCATTCCACAGCAAAAATTATAAAAGAAATATCATGGAAGCCGTTACAGCTTGGAAAACAACTTTTTGTATCCGAGCTAAAGCAGCAAAAGAAATGCTAACTCCTGATTATGAAGAATGGAGATCTGTTAGGAAAAACGAAAATATTCCTCTACCAGATCAAAATGAGGATATTTCTATGGAAGATCGCATTAAGGTGGTTCCATCAGAGATTGAAATCCTGAGAGCTGAGTTTGAAGCAGAAAGAGAAGGCTGGTCGAAAGAATTAGAGCAAATGAGACAAGATAAAGCTATGTTGGGGGTTGACATTGACTTTCATTCATCACAATGTGCAATGTTGAGAAAAGATAAAGAAAAAGTTGATGATGAATTCAGAGCATTACAGAAAAATTACCAGGAGTTATATAAATCCCGGAAAGCATTAGGATCAAGCCAATCAACAATACAGATGACCAGAGAATTGAACATCGAGAAAAGACGAGTTGAAGATCTGAAAGGAAAGAATAGCCGTCTACTCAAAAGCCTTGAGAAAGGAAAGCAAAAAATGGAAGATTTTGAGGTCGACAGAAGAGAGCGAATTATAAAACACAAGGCTGAACACCGCGAGATCATGAATGAAATGCAAAGAGAAAGGGATCAAGCCAAAGATTTAGAAGAAATGAAGAATGACATCTTTAATAAATTTGAAGGTGAGAAAAATATCATGTTCAAGGGATTTGAATCTGAAATGAACCAGTTGATTGCTGAACTTGAAGTCAGAGGCCAAAAGATGGAAGAATCCAATATTGAAAAAGAAAAATGGGAGTTAGAAAGAAAAAATTTCAACACCAGACTTGAGGTAGAGCAGGAAGTGGCTAGC